ATATCCGTGGGTAAAAAGAAACAACATGCGATATCGTACGCTAATTTGTAACGTCAATGGACGAAACCAAGTGCATCAGGGAAGCTGTATTCACACAGATTTAACCTCGTGGGTTCAAGAATTTCCGCAAACCATTTCGCGATTGAATGATCAGGTGGATTAAGTATATCCAATATTCGACGAACAGAGTACCACTTTTATAAACCCAAGGTAGACCATAAAAACTGCCTATGGTTGGAACAGACGATCTCAGATGTTCATACATATCTAAGTTATTTATGGATTCTTCTTTCAGTTTTCTCAAGATTTTTGAGATCTTATTCTTAATATGTCTTGTCCTATCTATTAGATCTATCGACTTAAACTTATTTTCAACAGTTAGTTTAGTTGAAAATTGTGCGCTTTCGATGTCATTCGTTGTCTATACTGCCTTTTCCAATATCGGAAGCAACAACGTAATATTGTGAATTTGAATCCTTAGAAGCTTGCTGAAAAAGTAGGGAGTAAATCTTTCAGGTGTATCAGGGAAACTTTTCACGCGACTTGGCAGTTTTAACCTTTATCACACTGCTAGAAATCAATTCTTTGTCCTTCAATGACTCTTTTTTTATTTTATCCACCTGAACCAATCCCAGCACCATCGCCAATAGTATCATGTGTACATTGAATGAGCGAATTTCTGGTACAACTACTTGACATTTTACCCTTTATAAATAAAACTGAACAGCTTGATTATAAAGTCGCTAAAGAGAAATATTTTTTCGTTGATACAAAAATTCTTGTTTACCATTGCGAACCCTTACATTAAACGTAGGCGTGCTAATTAATGGTCACATGTGTTGAGAAGTGAGTCAAGTTGATTACTTGCGAGGAAATAGTAGAAGTAAACCTGTTCCAAATGAAGATACTATTCTGAAATCGGAGGTCAAGTACGAGAAACTTTACTGACCAGCAACAAACTCTTCTGTTTCCTCCATAAACATTACTTTCACGGAAAGAGATAGCAATGAATTCAACCTTACTCTGTATAGGATAATAGCCTGCATAAAGTTTGAAACGATAGTCACAGGAAAATACGTTTTGATTTATGTGATAAAACAATAGATGACTACATAAGAGACAAGTACAAAATGGTGTGTTTATACAGTTGAAATTCGTGAATATTGTAAAATACAATTACTGGATGGTGTTGACTGCATGTTATTTGCATACAACTTAGAAAAGGGAGATTTATATAGACACTTGTCTATTCATGCTACAGTTAAAAAGCAACGACTCAGGTATAGTGAAGGAAGTATCAAGTAATCCACATAAGTAATAAGTAGTTAGGCGGTCGAACACCGCTATATCCATATCGCGATATTTGTATTACGCATCATCGATAGTTTGGGTATAACCTTGTCGAATAAACGATAGTTCCCGTCAATCCATGCAAAGTTTTTGCGTACAGTACGGCCGGATTGAGGATCAAGCTGATAGTCAGGTACATCCATGTTGTTTAATTGAAATGTGATAAAATCGAAATACACTCCATCTGAGCATACACACTGAACGGATATAGGCACTTCAAGAACCCCTGTAGTGATACCCATTGTACGAGCTTGAGCAACAGCAGAAGCAAAACAATTCATTAGCGCTATCGCATATCGGTGTTCAGAATAACAGGATCCGCTTCTGGTTCCAAATAGTCTGACCAAGCATTAGGTAAACTGAAGTTAACTGTGAATATATGCGGAAACGAATATCGACGACTCTATAATCGAAAACATTACACGCTAAGCATTATCGTCATGATATTATGTTGATGGTTATGTTCCAACAATTCAGAATAATACTCTTCTTAGTATGTTTTCTCATCGAGTAGAACAATGAACTGGTTTAAGAAAGAACTTATTTAAATAAGTGTAAATAATAAATTAGTGAAAAACACAAACAACAGGAATCTAACAATTTTCTTTGGTTAGAGTGTAAAGTCAACAAGAGGAAAAACACTATTTATAGAACTCGCTTCAGCAGACTTCGAAGAGTGATTTTATATTCAATGCTCATTAGTCTCAGGTGTTCAAGTTCGACTACTACTTTCATACTTTTCTGTAAACCGGAACACTATCTTTTTCAAAAGACACCATGAAAACAGGTGTTTAAAGTGGATTCCAAAAAGCTCTGATTGTGTCACAATGGCAACTTTCTCCTTCTAATTCGAGTGTTGAATACGGAGTTTTCAGCATCCTCTAAGAATACGTGAAGAAATAAAACTACTGCGCACAATACTCACAAACCAACTAACTTCAAACTTTCATCGAATATAAACCATTCAACGTCCAAACGCTATACCAAATCGGAAAAATAATTATTCGATCAGCTTACAGAATCTCGGGCCATCGCCATCAATGCATTCTTGAAATTTACGGGACACTTGATCTCACCTAGGCAACATAAACAAAGTGCGAAACTCGCTTTACAAATCCCAGAAGTTCCGGTGGTTAGTTACCGTGAAATCCTTCGATGAGGTATAGTTTAAAGCGTAGGATAGCAACTGCACTTCTTTACTGGATACCAGTCAACACAAGTCTGTGTTATCTGACTGGATAGATCTATAAGAGTTAGAGAGGATCATATGACTTGCCGATGCCTATTCATACTGTCCGTGAACGCGCCTATAAAATACAGTTCACTTAATACAAAAAATCATGATAACAGCTACAAATTTCACCAAACAAAGCAAAACGTTTAGACACAGTCATAATAGTGGGGTACCTACATGCATTTATCGCAACGTGACAGCGATTCTTATCCTGACGACACCTAGCAAAATATTCAGTCTCATGCAGAAACAGCTATAAAGACGGCTGGTAACCTACAGGTAAAAGTTGACAAAAGCTAGAAGATTTCCTCAACTACATCCGAACTGATTGATGCTAGAATGATTTCAATTGACTGTGACAAAGGATAAGGAGTCTAAGTAGATCAAAAGTAAATTGACTAAGATTTTGAAATGATCGCGAGTAGTGGCATATGGTGAGAGCGAAGGATATGAAGATGGCATCAGCACTAGACAATGCTCGGCAATTACTTAAGCTTAATGAAGATACTAGCAAGAAGAGGATGGTGAGACCATCACCGAAAAGAATGGGTTGCTGATAACGTCTTAGGACAGACGACTAAAACGTTCAGCAGGAAACTCTGAGGCACATTTCAACTGATATACGAGACTACAACAGTCGATCAGCATCCAGCCTGAACCTGAATTGAACCTGGATATTAATTCTTCAAACCACCTCAAAGTCCAGAAGGCTGCCTCTAACCTGAAATGTTGTAAAGCAGCAGTACCTGACAGTTTGTCACTAAAAGCTTTTAAGGCGGGAGGTAGGGAATTATCCAGCTGAGTGACGAAGGAACTAGGTGGTGTATTGGAATCAAAGGTATTCTCGTCAGCCTGATCTGCTCCGTTGATCATTCCAGTCTATAAGAAAATTTTTTTGTGATAATCATACGGAAATCGGTTTGACTGACACCACGTCCAGGATACTAGGGTCAATAGTCATCCCACAGCTTACTAGGGCTCAAAAAAAACCAAACTGGTGAAAATCAGATAGGTTTCAGACCTGCATTTCCGATTATTTAGACTACCCTGCACATCCCTACTCCCCGGTATCGTGCAGACTCTTTGTAAGTCTAAATTTCGGTGGCTTCGCACCTTATTGTGCTTGAATCATACAGAAATGCATGCAATGGTCCAGAAAAAGTCACTCAGCTTTACTGACGTCCTCAAAATATATCTAAGAGTTAGTTTTGGTTTTCAACACTGTTTTTACTCTGACAGCACGATTTGCAATTCTGTTTTGACAACTACATGTTCATGACCAGCACTAACCTCAGGCATATACAGATACACATCTCACATGCCGTCCAACAACACAACAGTAGTCAACGCACATAGATCACAGTCATATAAGCAATCATTGGAGAAGATAGGCAGACGATTACTCACCTTTTCTGGCTTTTGCTTACACTCCGGTAACGCGCTACTACAGATACCTACCTACCCATCTACCTGCATGCTTGCACATGGAAAAATACAGAAACAAAACCAATCAAACTTCTCTGTACCCAAGTGGATAATCAGAACGTCAAGTGTTCAGCTAGTGAACAGATAGCCAAACACTTATCTCAACACGGTAGCGATTCCCCTCCTAATACAGCCTGGGGTAATATTTAGTCAGCTGTAAAAACAGTGGTAAAACCAGTTGGTAGACTACAACCACAGTATGGTAAGATTTAGTGGGTCTTCGAAACCACATCGTAACTAATACATACAACTAGACTTCTTCCGACTGGCTCTGACCATGAAAAATACGAAAAGCTGCTTAGATGGTGACTGATCAAACAATCATCGTAACGACCGTGACCAGTGGTAGGTGGCGAAAGCATAAACCAAACACACGGAAAAGGCATCAACACCAAGTAATACTCGGCATTAATTTAGGCTTATCAAAGAAACTGGTTAGAAAACAATGACAGTCAGAAAGAAGATCACCAAAAGGCATGCGTTACTGATGACCTCTCAAGACATGAGGCTCAAACGTTGTGAGAAACACTTTGAAACACAGTTCCATTGGCTTCACTTACACAGCATTCAACAACAACATCCAAGGAGCATAGTTGTTGGCTTCGAAACGTATACCAAAGTTGAAAGGGCTCTTTCAAACCTGAAACAACGCAAAGCACCAGTACCCGATGAACTGTCAACAAGTGTTTGTGGATAGATCTATAAAACTACTTACTAGAGTAAGTTAGACATACTAGGTAGTAGTGTATAGGAATCAGAGGTAGTCCCATCACATTGGTCTTAATGGTTAGTTTATTCCAGACTGTAAGAAGGAAGGAAAGTCTTCTCGTGGTAACCATAAGGGAATCAGTCTCACCTACAACGAGTCTGAGAATTTAGGTCCCAGAAACACAAAACATTCAAGTGAATCTGAGGAACACCAAATCCTAGGATAACAGGCAGACCTCATATCCCGATGAAGGTGCTTGATATTTCTTGACCTGAAGGTGAAATTTCACTCTGTCGACTGACAGGTGTTGTGGCAGTGTCTGATTGCGAAAAGAGTAGTGAGCAAGTATGCAACACTAATGAGAGCTTTCTTCTCGAAGTGAAATAAGCGTATGAAGGCTATTGAAGAGTTTCCACTTGAATGGACGACAACTAGTAGTATCCGTCAATGGTGCCCGCTGTCATCGTTCAAGGTTAATGTCGTTATCATTGTAGTAATAGGCAGCGAACATAGGCACCTGTGGATTCACAGAGATTAATCTACTCCCTGGATGACTTGGAATATGCAAACGACATCGTCCTGTTAGGTGAAAATGCTAACATAATCCAGAGTCATCTGAACGCCTTGAGAATAAATCTGTGGGTTCGGCATGCACCTCATACCAGTCGAATGTAAGATGATGCTTTTAGTACTGGTCTGCAGCTGCTCCCAGTTTGTGGATATGGAGAGAATTGGTAGAATGTGTTGACAGCCTTCCTTGCTTCAGGGCCTGAAGTGAGCCAGATCCCACTGGTTGCTGATGAAGTCTCAGGTCAGATACAGGAGGCCCGTTCGGTATATTCCAACTTGCACCATTCCTGGCATCAGTGAGACATACATCTGTTAAAGGGCAAGTGTGCTGTGGTGTGATCCGCTCTGTCCTAATAAACGACTAAGACATTGCCACTCAAATGAAGGTTAGGTTAGGTTTTGAAACTTTACCGCGTGAGATGGGTTGGATTCGTTGCAACAGCTGAGTCCTCGCCTGATTCGAAGTGCAACGTTAATTATAGTAAGATTGAGCTGGAAGGAGGCTAAGGATAATCAGGTACAGACGTAACACACGTCCTCACAGTCTCCTTGTTATTCTGAATCATGTAGGGAGATTTGGACTGTCAGGTTGTGGCGCTTGAAACAAAGTAATCAATGGTCAACGAATCTTGCTGACATCTCAACATCCACCAGAATGCTGAAAATTTATTCATCCTCTAAACACCAACGAAAGTTAAAGCATTTCCACTAGCTTCTCGATATTTTTCTCCTCATTCTATACACTTTTGTTGACTTTTATCTACTCCTTTCCTATCCACTACTTTGTTGCATGTTGCTATGTGGTGTGGCAACTTAAACTGCTACATTTCTGTGCGCCGTCATGTGCTGATTTTTTTGTCTGTTAATCAGGATTAGTTATGAGAAATGCGAAGCAAGAACTTGTTCTGAAGGCAAACGACTGCTTGATGATGCAACTGACTTAACGCAAACAGAATCTCTAAAACCCGTGCATTTGTTAAGTGTTGAAACAGAACTATCTATAACTCATAAGATCTGTAGGCCTCTGTGAAGCATGTTGTCCAGTTACGTCGATTGGTGACAGAAATATCTTTCACAGAATTACGAAAGCAGAATGGAATGTGCATATTTTTACGTCAACAAAGCATTTACTGTTGGCTAATTAGCATTTTGATTTCATGTCTGAAATGGTTTTATATACTACACATTGAGTTTATTTTCGCACACTTTGCTAAATTTTCTAAACTTACTGCACTTCATTCCCGCCTCAACCTTATCTTACATTGTTCTTTAGTTTTATGTGTTGATTTGCTGACACATTTTTCTGACGTTTATCTTCTAAATTATGATCAAACGCATACAAACTCTATACCAATAAGCTCCAGGATCCCTAAGTGCATATATCATATCATTTCATACTCAAACA